TTTTTTTTTTTTTTTAACATTAAGACAAGATCTAAAGCAGATATCTGCCAGCTTTCTGCCCACATAAAGAAGTGAGTCCTGATTCTGACATCAAAGAGGATAGGCAGGAGGTGGTCACAGGAGGCTGCATGACCTCTGCTGAACTCCAGCTCTTCTCGTATGAGCCATAGTTACCTGCTTTGATAACCAAGGACCAAGCACTTGATTGACTTGACTCACAGAGTGTCCTGTTGCAGAGTTGTTTGAGGCTACAGTGAAATACAATTTCATCACTTCCCATGGATGTTATAATCTATTAAGGAAGCCGATAGCCAGGCAGTTCACTAAGTCAAGTCGTATTCTGCATGAAAGGGAGAAACTGAATGCTGTGAACCACTGTATGAGAGTGCTTTGTTTGTGCTGTTGGTAAGAGCAGATGAGCTCATTTCAAGTAGACACCTTCTCCTGTTGGTCATTTCGTTTGATAGTGCCCCACCAAGGGCTGGTTCTACTGAGCTAAGTGGTTCATGACCAGGAAAAGATGCAGCCCTGAGTTTGAGTGAATATGCTGTGCCAATACTCCAAGTCCCTAAAACAGAATGTAGACAGGAAAGAGAAATGCTTTTCTGCAAACAGTGGCGCATCTGCATTTGTCACCTAACTTCTCATCATCATCATGTTTCCTGAGAGAGAAAAGAGGAAAGAATCAGAGGAGAATGCATGCCTGGGGAGAGAAAAGAAAATACACGTTACGGGAAAGAAGAATATTTAGGCAGTGCTGGGTTCCTTAACTGCTACCAAATTGATATTATAGACCCTTGAATAAAGTGGTAGAAATTCATTCTCTGTTCTTCATCCCCCAAACTTAATCAGCCAATCAGTGCCAGTGTAGGGCATGTGTGAATGTGTTTTGGGGTAAGGGGCTTATGCATGGTATATGGGGTCCTCTTCCTTTTCTAAACAAAATTATTCCCTTCTAATTTTTTCCTTCCATCCGAAGAAAGCAATTCACCCCGGTGCTGGATATGAAGGCATTTCAGAATACAAATCAGTAGTCTATTACCAAGTCAAGCAGCCCTGTTGGTATGAGACTGTCAAGGTGAGAATGAGTCATTTGCAACCCCTGTTATCTGTTAAACCTCAGTTAGATTCCTATCTTCTGTTTACCCCCAAATTATTCCTACTTTATTTTGAAATTTTTAGATAAGTTGCCTATGGTGTGCAATAAGAAACGAATCGGTAATTATAATTCTGTATTAAGAGCATTTATCATTAAGAAACTCCGTATTCTTCAATAATGTTCTCATTCATAAATGTATGGGAATTTGAGTAGCAAAGCTGGTGGTTGACGTGATGGATATAATAGACTGCCAAGACGGTACAAAACCAAACAGAAATTTTCACACTGTGCAAACAGTTTCCTAACATTTTTTTCTTCTTGGCCTCTCACCAAGTGTTCTGGGCCTCTTTTCAACTTCAATATGTGTATTACACATTCCAAAGTGCTTTTCAGATCAGTCATCTCCTTTGAGCCCCACAAGGGCTCTGCAACTAGAACAAGCAGGTGTTGTAATGCCATCTTTCTGATTAGGTACTGAGGTTCAAAGTTCAGTGACTTCCTAGGATCCTAGAGCTGACTGGTATCAGGGCCTGAACTAGAGTCCACTTCTTCTGAATCCCAGGCTCCATCAGCTCTTTCTGGTTGTCGAAGTCACACGAGTTCTTCATAGAAAAAAAAAAAATTTGTTTTAATTGCATTCGTATATCTCAATTTAGAATTAGCCATTTTCAACAGTTTTATATAGTTCATATGTTTTGAATGATGCTGTTGATAGAAATTTATATTGTGCTTTTTAAAACTACTTATCTCAATGCATATAAATTCTTCAGATATGTATTTTAGATACTTGCATGAGGTTCCATTGTATAATCATGCCGTAATTTAACTGCACACCACAAATCTCTGCTCATTTGAGTGCCCCAAGGCCATTTCTTCTCTCCCCTGTAGATACGAGAGCAGCAGAAAGCTGCTTTATGAGCCCTAATTATTACCTTTCCCCCTCTTTATGGAAAAATTAGGTCTTATAGATCCAATTATTACTATATTTATTCACATCTTGCAGTCTGAAAGGTTCTGTATAGACCTCAAAGTACCAGTATTCCCCCTCTGAAGTATTACTGTTTCTTACTTCAGAAAATGCTAGAAATTCACAGTATCTCTATGCTCAGAATCTGTGATAAACAGCAAGATGATCTGAGATTCTTTTGATTTGAAAATAGCTCAGTCTCCTTTGAATGAAACCTATACCAAGTCTCACTCTCTAGTAATTTGTGCTGTGGAGAGTACAAAATTGAGCCTAATTCCATGAAATAAACCATGCATGCAAAGTACTTTGTGTCTGTAAACTATTAATTTCTTACTATGACACAGGTATCCATTGCTATAGAAGAGGTCACACGCTGCCATATAAGATTTACCTTCCGACACAGGTCATCTCAGGAATGTAAGTATTAAGAGGTCTATGACATATTTCCACTTAAAAAATTTTTTCTCTGGCTTGACAACCCTCTTGTGAATCTGGAGAACAAGATATTTGGAAACTAGAGACTTGGCAACTTTCTTTTGTAACTCACTGGTGCTAAGGAAATCAGCATAATGAATTTTGCTGGGCTTGCAAGGTCTGTGTTATCACTCTACATTAGGATTTCCTCAAAATGTGTTTTGTGAACATTAATATTCTCAAAGACAGCAGTCCTCAATCTTTGGCACCCAGAGACTGGTTTCGTGAAAGCCAATTTTCCCAAGGACCAGGAGCGGGGATGGTTTCAGGGTAACTCAAGCACGTTACATTTGTTGTTTTCTTTGTTCTTATTACATTGTACTATATAATGAAATAATTATACAACTCACCGTAGTGTAGAATCAGTGGGAGCCCTGAGCTTGTTTTCCTGCAACTAGACAGTTCAGATCATCAGGCGTTAGATTTGCACAAGGAGTGTGCAACCTAGATCCCTTGCATGCACAGGTCACAATAGGGTTCGGCTCCTGTGAGAATCTAATGCTGCTGCTAATCCAACAGGAGGCAGAGCTCAGTTGGTAATGTGAGCAGTGGGGAGCGGCTGTAAAGACAGATGGAGCTTTGCTTGCTGGTCCGCCACTTACCTCCTGCTGTGTAGCCCAGTTCCTAACAGGCCACAGACTGGTACGGGTTCATGGCCTGGGCTTTGAGGTCCCCTGCTCTAAGCTGTTACTAGATGTTCTGTAACAAAAAGTGTTGTGTTTCACAATCAAATAGGTATAGGAAAGGCTGTGTATACCTTGTATCCCCCTCCTAGACATTCACAATGTATGTTGCCATGTTGCAGTAGCAAGAAAACTGTTTAGTCACTTGTCTCCCCAAATTGTCATTTTTCTCGTGAAAAAACTATTTCAAGTCTTAGGTCACAGTTCTTGAAATGGCTGCACTAAAGTGCGAGCAGAGAAGAAAATTGATTGTTTTCAGACCGATCACAAAATTTCTGGAAGCTTCTTATTCTCATTTAGCACTGCATAAAAATGTAACCCCTCCTTCCAAAAATGCATGTGTTGAACACCATCTACACAGCAGGCTGCAGGCGAGGCCCTGGTCTATGACAGCCAGCTGGACACTGCCACGTAGATTCTTTGTAATCTGGTTAGGAAGATAAATGAAAAAAGTGGGTGGTTATGTACGGAATAGTGTGATGTGTATATTACAAGGGGCAAAGACTTGTAATGGATACGTAGCACAGTACCTTACCCAGTCTGGGGGATTTATGCATATAACTTCCTACATCTTAGCTGAGACTTGAAGGAGAGTAGAAATTAGCCCAGTGAAGGGTGGCAGGAGAAACATGTTTGGAGAACCCCAATGAGCTCAGTAAGGCTAAAGCAGGACCAGTGGAGCAATAATAGTATCAGGTTGAATCATGTGAAATTGCCATTTTTTAGGTCTAAATGGCCACAAATATCAGCTATTTCATATGGTTCTGCATAACTAACAATGATCAATTAACAATTAACAAAGATCAAGTTCCTATGAAATATTATGTGAGGCTGGGCGCGGTGGCTCACGCCTGTAATCCCAGCACTTTGGGAGGCTGAGGCGGGCGGATCACAAGGTCAGGAGATCGAAACCATCCTAGCTAACACGGTGAAACCCCGTCTCTACTAAAAATACAAAAAATTAGCCGGACGTGGTGGCGGGTGCCTGTAGTCCCAGCTACTCGGGAAGCTGAGGCAGGAGAATGGTGTGAACCCAGGAGGTGGAGCTTGCAGTGAGCTGAGGTCGCACCACTGCACTCCAGCCTGGGTGACAGAGTGAGACTCTGTCTCAAAAAAACAATAAAAGAATTATTATGTGAAGCTATATTTGTACATGGTCCTGTTTAGTATTCACAATAATATAATAAAGTACATTCTACTTTTATCTACATTTTTACATAAAGAAACTAAGGCACGGAGAGGCTAGGTACTTGCCCGTGGTCACAAGGCTAGCATATGACCAGGCTGGGTTAGCACCCAAGCAATCTGATTCTAGCTAGGCTGGAACCAGGTCACAAAGGCTGAAGATGCTTTTCAACCATGTTAAGGAGGTGCAATTCAAGGGTGGTTTCTGGTTTTGAGATTTTGGGAGGGGTTGGCCTATGTTCATAACAGCTTTACCTGTAGTACTCCAACACTAGAATAGCCTAAATCCCCATCAGTAGGAGAATGGATAAACAAACTGAGGTAAAATCGTACAATGAATGACTGCTCCACCAGTGTGGGGACCCGAGAGTCACAGCAGACCACAGAGCCGTGCCTATGATGAGAACAGGCCACAGGTTACCCAGTCAGAGCCACTGAAGCAGGGGACCCAGTGAGTTCAGAGACTGGCCCCGAAGACCAAGAGAGAGGTGCTCTGCCTCCTCATGAAGCCGCATCCTCCTCCCAGCCGCCACAGGGCATACAGATCTTCTTTCCTGGCACTGGAGCTGGTATTCTGGGGAGGAAAGGGGAAGAAACCCTGGGCAGCACCTTAAACCCTAGAGTAGAATAAATATCTTGCAGAGCCTGTTTTAGAGCAACATAAATTGAGATCTCTCATTCGAGTGTTTTGAAACAGGGTGGTTGACATGATTGGATTGGACTTGGGAAACCTCATTCCAACGTAGAGAATGTGTTGGCTGGGAGAGCCTAGAGACAGAGAGGTGCATTGGGAAGGTCCTGTAGAAATAAAGAGAAGAGGTGAGGTTGGCCTGAAGTCAGGAAGGGACAGCAAGACAGCAAGAGAGAGAAGAGACAGGCTCCAGAGCTATTTAGGACATGGAGTTGACATGGGGTGGAGTTGGTGTCAACACCCACATTTCCGATTTGGATGACTGGGTAGATGCTGGTCTCATTTATTAGAGGATGTAGGAAGAGGAGAGCCTACTTGGGGGTGCCAGGCAGTTTCATTGGCACACGGTACATGTCTTACTGCAATTTGCTGAATAGTGCTTATTAGAATATGGTTGAACGCCACACCCCCAAGCAAAATGTGAAATCATCTGTCATAGCCATCGCCTCCTGGTGTCTTTCTGCACTGCTCAGACATGTCTTTCTGCTTTTTCAGCCAGAGATAAATCGGAGCGAGCATTTGGGGTGGCCTTCGTGAAGCTGATGAACCCGGATGGCACCACTCTGCAGGATGGGAGGCACGATCTGGTGGTTTATAAGGTGGTGCTAACAGAAAATGGCTGAGAAAAATATTTGCTCCCTTTCAAATGGCGTTTAAGGCTCCTTTCACATTTATTTGTACAAACATCAGAAACCCTTCTAGAGCTATCTGTACTTGCCCATTAAAATCTAGAAACTTGGAAGGCTCTGGGCCCTCCGGCTTTGTGGTTTCCCACCTCCTTTCTGGAGAGAGTGAGTTGCATTATTACTGAGTCTTCTAAGGAGGCTCTCACCCTTTCCTGCGAATGGTGTTCCCTAGCAGGGAATGGTAAGGGGTCGGCCTCTCATCCTCTGCTCTTTGCGTCCTGCATGGCACGTGGACAGGTGCACCGTTGGGCTTCACTAGCATGTGGTGGATGTGGTTTTCCTGTCACCATGAGCCACATACCATTTCTCTGCTCTGGGGGCCTTCCTTCCTTCCCTGAGAGTTTTGTCTTTGTTCTTCTCTTCCAACTGGTACTGAGCTCCCACTTCTACTGAGATTTTAGAGTCTAAAGTAGATGCTGGAAGATCTCATTTGTCCAACAATATCTGGGGGTTTCCCCACAGTTGGCTGCCCTTTTGAGATACATCTACCTGATGAATATTTTTCTTAACCTGTTAGTTTATGAATCATTTTGGAAGGGATGGCAAGCTATTTCTTCTTCCATCAACCATCAACCCAATAAAGTATAATTGTCCCCATTTAGAGACTGAAGAAAATGAAATTTAACCTTATTCTGCAATATATTTATTTACTCTAACAGAGACTAGGATATTCTGGTTTCTAGTTCACAACTTACTTTGTTTCCATTCAATCATGAAATTATTTCTGGGCTCAGTGTTTGCGGAGAGATATCATAGTATCTCAGAGTTGGAAGGGATCTTCAGGATAATTTGATAAAGCCACGCTTCTCATGCTGGAAATGCATGATAGAAATTGTTTTTATTTGCATATAAGAGATGTTGGCCATCATTGGGTGTTCCTAACATGCTTCCTTTTTAGGGTGACAACAAAAAAATGGAAGATGCTAAATTCTACCTGACCCTACCTGGGACCAAGATGGAGATGGAAGAAAAAGAACTTCAAGCATCCAAAAACCTGGTCACCTTCACCCCAAGCAAGGATAGCACTAAAGACAGCTTTCAGATTGCCACCCTCATCTGCTCCACAAAGCTCACCCAGAACGGTAGGAGTGGTGAATACATTGACACAAATAAGCTTCCCACTCAGCCTTCCTGGGCTCATTGGTTAGGCTCACAGGGCTGGACCATATGGGGCTGAGTCTTATAAGGTAGGATGTTGGCCAGTTGGATTCTGCTCTCTGCTTTTCAAGTGGTATTCTGGGTAGAACTGATCACATTGCACAGCTTCTTCTGAAGTTTCATTGTCCACTTTAAAGCAGGATGAAAAACATTTTAGTATTTTAATATCATAAAACCTATAAGTGTATTTATTAACAGCAACTGTAAAATTCAAAAGCCGTATGTTCCTTGATAGTGCATTCTGTATAGTATATGCAGGAAGAGATGTTGGTAATAACAAGAGGAGCCTGGCGAAGAATATAATCAGTCTCCTGTCCAAAAAGTATGGCAGGGCTTCCTGTTTGAGTTGTCTCTTTCTGTTGTATATTCTTCTCTTCCCCATTTTTTCCCAAGCAGTCAGGAATTTTCATAAATTCAGCTGAATAGTTCAAAGAGGGCTTCATTTGGTTTTTCCTTCAAATCTCTGATATCAATTTTAACCTCTCTTGTGTAGATTATGGCATTTGATAGCCAATATCAACTTCTTATTTATTTAACTTAAGTGATGCGTAAGGAGCCCTACTGGATGTAGTAAACCAAGAAGGAGCTACCTAGGGGACTTGTGCTAGAAATTTTGTCTCCCATATGCTGTGTAGAGACTGGTGCCTTTGGCCTTGTAGACAGTTAGAGTGAGGAACAGGCAAGAGCTCTGCCTTAAGAGGTGCAAAGATAGACAAAACAGTGTAGTTATAGGGTAAACCCAGATATCAGATCCCTGATCTTTAGAAGGGCTCAGTAATTAGGTTTGTTTTGACAAATCGTGGTTGACAAAAAAAAAATAAGGATTATATTTCAACTTGGACGAGTGGCTAGACTCAACAGAGTGAAGTTTAGGGCTAATCCATATGTGCAAATAAAAGCATGCTCACTAAAAATGAAGCCAGAAACATAGAAGATGTGACAGAACCATCAGCAACATACCCTTGTTATGGACAAAGTGAATCTATTAACAATTAACTGCTGGTAGGTTAATGGGTACAGTATTTATGGAGGATAATTTAGAAGGCATATCAAGGATTTTAAATGTCTTCCTACCCTTTGAGCCTGTGATTTGACTCCTGGAAGCAGAACTTAAAGTAGTACAAAGTAAACAATGAGAGATGTGCATGAAGATTTATGTACAAAGATGTTATTTCCCTCTTATTTGTAACAGGGAAATACTGGAAACCACCCAAATGTCTGATAGTTGGGGTCAGTTTAACCACATTTTATAATTAAGTGACGAAATATATGCAGCTGCTAAATATGGTATTTCAAAACATAGTGAAGGACACAGTGAACTTTTTAACACTGTACACAGTAGGATCCCAGTTTTATTTGGGTATATGTGAGCAATCTGCAGCCAGATTGCCTGGCTTCAAATCCCAGCTCTGCCACTTATTAGCTGTTTCATCTTGGGCAAGTGACTTGATATCTCTGTGAACTGGTTTCCTTGTCTTTAAAAGGGGAGCAATAATAGTATCTATTTCAAAGAATGCAGTAAATTAAAATAAAAACAAAATAGCATTCGATCTATATAGTGAACACTATAATGTCAGCTATCACGATCATCATTATTTGTACACAGAAAAAGATGAATAGGATCAACTCAAAGTTTGATAATTCTTGTTTTCTTTACTCTTTTTGGTATTTTCCAAATTTTTAACTATGAAATGTCAAAATGTTATTCTTTGAACTAAGTATGGTAGTATACTATATAAAGCATTAATATTATTTTTAAACTGTCAAGGGATATTTAAAAGGGATAACACTTACTGAACATCTAGTAGATAATCCTTTCTGGACTACAGATCAAAGAGGAATAAAGAAAACAAGAATAAAAGTTTGTGAAATTACTAGTAATGAAAAGCAAAAGGAATTTCTGTTAGCGATAACCGTGTTGTTACATTGTTTGTTATCTCCATGTCAAAAATGCAGGGTTTCCTGACAAGTTGCAGTTCTCAATGTAGACCTTTCATTTGCTGGTATGCCTACTTCACCCCAGCTTCTGAATGTTCTTAACTAGCCTGTACTGTCTTGATACGGTAGCCCCCAGACACATGTAGCTTGTAAAATTTAAATTAATTAAAATTGGAGGGTGGGGCGATTTGGGAGAAGTTGGACAAAAGGTACAAAAGTTCCACTAGACAAGAGGGTAAGTTCAGGAGATCTGTCATATATCCTCGTGGCTATAGTTAATAATATAGTGTATACTTGAAAATTGCTAAGAGAGTAGATTTTAAGTGTTCTCACCACCAAAAAATAAGTAATGTGTATGTTAATTACCTTGATTTACCCTTCTACAATGTGTGTGTGTATCAAAACATCATGTTGTACACTGTAAATATATACAATTTTTATTTGTTAATTAAATTTTATTAATAAAAACAAAGTATAAATCAGTCCGCTAGTTGCCCTAGTCACATTTCGAGCACTCTGGTCTCCTGCAGCTGCTAACTTTTGTGCTGGGCAGACGGATGTACATTTCATCATCACAGAATGCTCCTTTGGATGACACTGTATGCTTTACTTTGTCATCCTTATTCCTGATGTTTTGATTTAAAAAAGAGACAAACTCATCATAACACATACAAAAAGAGTCAGAAGTAATATCTTATTGCAAAGAAGGTTTAAAAAGGCAAGCCTCGTCGGAATCAGAGAGGAGTGACCTGCTATCCAAACGGACTGGGAGCAGGGAGAGGGACCAGGGGACAAGAGAGGGAAAGATGGAGACTTGGCAAAGGCATCGTGAGCATCGGGGAAAATGGGGTATTCCAGGGACAAATGATTGTAGATTATTCATGCATTTGCTTTTTTCTGACTTGATGGAAATTATAAAGAATGAATTTGATTTAATAAAACGCTGAAGAGCATTAATAAGCCATCGGCTAACTCTGTGAGGGCGTTGACTGAGTAGAGAGGGTAGCTGTGTTCTCGCTGAGAGGGCGAGCAAAGGCATTCCTCCTTCGCCTGAGGAGAGCTATTCAGACTCAAAAGGTTAAAAGCCACTGGAGTTTTAACAGACAGATCTTGGAGACTCTTTTTTGTTTACTTGATTTGTTTTTTCGATACTAAAACAGACCAGTTTGTGTGGGATCATTGGTTTCTGGGCCCAGTGGGAGGTAAGAATAGATTTGTTTGTCCAGGAAAAAGAGAGGAATGTGCAGGTCCCCAGTGGTGTGTGGCCTTGGGCCAGGAGGTTCATACTCGTCAGTCATTTCACCCTCCAGCACCAACTTTGCCATGATCATTTCCAGCTCATTGACCAGAAAATTGAGTTTTAAAGTGGCAAAAAATCTTTCTTAAGCTCTTAAGTGGTGGACTTGGATTTTGAAAACAGCTCTTTGTAGCTCCAAACAGTTTACAGTTTGTTGTTTTGCAGTTAGAGTCGCCAAGATCGGTTTGTTACAAACTCCAGTGACTTTTAACCTTTTGAGTCTGAATAGCTTTGTCGTACTTTCCTTTTTAGAAGTGTGTGTTCTTAAATTCTCTTCCTAGGGTAGAAGGCAATTACTACCCTAAATTTGGGGATTCTCATGCCCTCGCTTCTCTTTATAGTTTTGCCACATCTGTAGCCCTTAAAGTATGTTGTTTCATTTTGCATTGTTTTTATTTTATATAAATAAATTAAATTATGAGTCAGTCCCTTAGTTGCCCTAGCCACATTTCAAGTGTTCAGTAATCTCCTGCAACTGGTGACTTTTGCATGCCACCTTACTTATTTTTCAGTGGTCAGAACACTTATTTCTATTCTCTTAGCAATTTTCATGTATACGGTATACAGTATTATACAACCTACAGTATTAATGTAGTTAATAATTGAACTATCTAATTGAAGTCTTGTGTCCTGTGTGAATTCTTGTGTAACTTTCGCTTTTACTCAGCATTACTGAAGATTTGAAGTATCCCGAATTCTTACACATTTCTCACGAGAATGTAAAATGGGAACAGTGACTTTGGATAATATTTAATACGGCTGAAGATATTCTTCCTGATGCCCCAGAAATCCCACCTTAGTTTTCTACCCTAGAGAAGCTGCTCTACCTGTATACCGGGAGACGTATGAGAATGTTCATAGCAGAATTGCTTGTGGTAGAAAAAAACTAGAAACAGCCCAAGTGTTTATCAGCAGCAGAGTGGATAAACAAATTGTGTACACCTGTACAATTGAATAGACACTGCACAGCAAGAAAAAAACTCAGAGCTACGTGGATAAACCTGTGTACATCTTAGAAACACAACAAGCCTGGGGCTCTTTCTGTAACCCTGTGTCACTGCTTTCCTGGTCCTAAGACCTAACAGTTCACCAGATGCCAAAATATTTTCCTATGTGAGCCGTGATCTGGCGTGCGGGTATCACTAGGAAATAAACCTCTGGGATGATACTTGGGTACTTTGTCGGGGCTGAAGCTGCTGGGTGAATATTCACCCCTGGTGAAGCGACTAAATTGTTTTCCTCCAGCGGCTATGAGTCAAGTGATGGAACGAGCAATACCTTTGACTAGCCTGTGGCAGAAGTCAGAGCTGGAGAATATGGAAGTGGACAGTGCCGAGTGGAAGGCCTAGCGTTGCACCTATGTTAATTACCTGCTGAATGAATGAATACATTAATGACTGGGTTAGGCATATTACCAGCTTCCTTAGAGTTACTGGTTCCCTTTCCATTCATTCATTTATTCCTTCATCAGACATGTATTGAACACCTAATAGATATCTAGTACTATGGCGAGATAAAAGAATAAACACTATATGGTTCCTGCCTTCAAATGGCTCAAAACTATGGGAAGAGTCAAGGAGACACCAAATACATCTTACCAAATACATAGTATTTCTGGGTATTTCAGGCAAAGAGAAAAATATACACAAAGACACACAGATATTTCAGAACCTGCCATGGTTGGGCTGTGGTGATTAGATTTCTCTGACTGCTAAAGGGTAAAAGAGAATAGTGGTGGTTGGGGTGTGCTGGAGTGACATAGTTGGGGCCTTATTACATTCTCTGTGTTTCATTGGAAGTTTATTCTGTAGACACAAGGAATCCTTAGGCATTAGGTTTTGGCAGTTTCCCTGGGCCTAAACAATAGGTAAACTGATAAACACCCTCATGAAGCACTTTGACTATTTATGAAAAATACACGTGTAATGACTTATATATTTCTACAAATTCATTGATTGAAAAATATCAACCGGGTGCCCTGGCTCCCACCTGTAATTCCTTTGGGAGGCACTTTGGGAGGCCGAAGCAGGAGGCTTGCTTGAAGCTCAGGAGTTCAAGACCAACCTGGGCAACATGGCGAAAGCCCTTCTCTACAAAAAATACAAAATTAGCCAGGTGTGGTGGTGCACTTGTAGTCCCAACTACTCTGGAGGCTGAGGTGGGAGGAATACTTGATTCTGGGAGGCAGAGGTTGCAATGAGCCGAGATTGCGAGATTGCACCACTGCGCGAGATTGTACCACTGCACCCCAGCCTGGGTGTCAGAGCAAGACCTTGTCTCTCAAAAAAAAAAAAAAAAAAAAATGTGTTGCTACATTTACTAGATAATGCTCTGAATAGAAATAGTAGCTTGATGTACTAAACTAGGTGATAATACAGTCACAGTCCAGATAACTGCAGTTTCTCTGTGACACTTTTATATTTCTTAATAGAGACAAGGTCTCTCCATGTTGCTCAGGCTGGTCTTGAACTCCTGAACTCAAGTAATCCTCCCGTCTTAGCTTCCTAAAGTGTTGGGATTACAGGCATTAGCCACTGCGCCCAGTCCCTTTGACATTTTTAATAGCTTAACATTTATTAAAGCTGTAAGTGGCTTAAAGTTTCAAAATTCTCCATTGTAAGTCAAAAAATGCCTTAATATTTTTATCCCAGACTTATCCTAAGGGCTATGAATCTGTTCCACCTTTTCTTTGAAGTAGCCACATGTCTAATTTGCTTGTCTATTTCTTCAAAGAACTCTGGGGAAAACTGTATGATAGAAAAGCAAGGAGTTGGTTTTTCAAATCAGATAAATATGTAATAAAATTCCATTTCTACCTCTCCTAAGACATGTAATTTAACTTCACAAAGCCTCAGTTTCCTCATCTAAAAGATGGAAAAAATAAAATCTGTGTGTTCATGATGTTGAAATAAATTAATGCATATATATACACACACACACACACACACGTACACGCACACACACACATGTACATGCGCACGCACACGCACACACACATATATATATAGAGAGAGAGAGAGAGATGCACACATACCTATGTTTCTTCCTTCCCTCTGAATCCACCCAGACATAGGTAGTGATAAGGGACAAGTTAAGTAAGGCAGCAAATTAGAAGTAGGAAGTTTACATAAGCGTGCTTCTTAGCTTTACTTCTTATGACCATGATGTTATTACTTGAGAAATGTTAGTTGCAGTCAGATATTCTTTTAAATTCTTATGCATTAATAGTTAATTTTTTTCTCTTTGAAGAATGAAAGAGGACCACAAGGTTTTCCCCGACTTGTATGGGAGATAGTAAAAGAATACATAAGGCATCTTGAATTAGACACTATTAAGAGCAATTACCTGTTCTAGAGAATTCTTTAGCTATGTCCTGAAATGGTCTGGGTTGTTCTGTCTCACCTGTGTCTAATGTTTGTGTCTAATGTTCTTCCCAGTTGACCTGTTAGGTTTGTTAAACTGGCGTTCCAACTCCCAGAACATTAAACACAACCTAAAGAAGTTAATGGAAGTGGATGGAGGAGAGATTGTTAAGGTATGTTTATATATTCATAGTTAGAAACATACATACATACATACATACATATACCTATTATACCAATTATACCTAATTGGTTCAACATTTAAAATTAAACCATTCATTGTAAATATAAAACTTATCTACGTTGTTAAACAAGTGTGCTAGTTTTTTAAAAAATGCTATTTTAAACCTCTTTGATTTAAACCTACTTGTCCCCAGATTGCTGTGGTATCTATGAAAGCATCAAAATAACCTCTCTGTTTTTCTTATCTTCAGTTTTTGCAAGATACACTAGATGCACTTTTTAACATAATGATGGAAATGTCAGACAGTGAAACCTATGACTTCCTTGTGTTTGATGCACTGGTAAGCAGTTAAACATATTAACTAGTGTTTATTGCTGCAACTTTATAGTTTTCAATATTACACTATTATAAGTGATTGTGTGAATATCTTCTCGCATAAATATTTGTTTCCATCTCTCTGGTTATTGTGTTAGGCTGAATTCCTAGAATTACAATTAGAAACAATGACTTATATTTCAGGCCTTTATTTGTTTGTTTCCTGTTAGATCTCTCTTTTTGATATGCTCTTTCTTTTTTTTTTTTTTTTTTTTTTTTTTTTTGAGACAGAGTCTCGCTCTGTCACCCGGGCTGGAGTGCAGTGTCCGGATCTCAGCTCACTACAAGCTCCGCCTCCCGGGTTTACGCCATTCTCCTGCCTCAGCCTCCCGAGTAGCTGGGACTACAAGCGCCCGCCACCTCGCCCGGCTAGATTTTTGTATTTTTTAGTAGAGACGGGGTTTCACCGTGTTAGCCAGATGGTCTCTATCTCCTGACCTCGTGATCCGCCCGCCTCGGCCTCCCAAAGTGCTAGGATTACAGGCTTGAGCCACCGCGCCCGGCTGATATGCTCTTTCTTATTAGAGAAAATAAGATGTTTTATTTTTATTAGAAATCAGGAATCATTTTAACTCACATTAACATTGTCTGGAGGATTGTTACATGTTGTGTGTGTGTGTGCACTGGTGTGTTTATGCAAGGGAGACTGAAATCACAAGTCAGAGGTGAATCTGAGCCTCATTAGACAGAATATTCAACCCAGCAGACAATTGAGTTTGTCACACAAATCACTTAAACCTTCAACCCATTGCAAGAATTGAAATCAGAATAGGGAAAAGCGATATCAGAATCTGGGAAGGCCAGAAGTGAGGGTGGAGGGGAAGAAGCTGAAAGGCCCAAAGCAAGCATCATTTTCACCTTGGTGGGGTGAAAGTTTGGGACAGGATTTTACCTGAATGCCACAGCTGAGGAGGAAGGTCAGTTGCAGCTTTAGGGGATTCACCAGCTTGAAGAAACTAGTCAGTTTAAGAAATAATCAGAGTATTAAAGCTATGGTTTAAAATAAAGAAAACACCACCTAGTTGAGATCCAACTGGTTGGACTCGGGTTTATGGGAAAGAGAGACAGTGGTTATGGATGCGGTGGGACAAGGAAATAGATTCCTGAGGGACAGAGCAGCTGGCAGTGGGCATAGATGGAAATCCCAAATGCCCCTTGCTTTTGACCACTCTGTCTTAAGCAGGGCAGTGTGGCTAATTTTAGGTCATCTGCCTAATGGCAGTGCAAGGGAATATACAAGGGGTAATTGGGAGATGAAACTCTGGTGAAGTTGTTATTGGGGGCACTCATAGTGTACCCAGGAGAAAAATGTCATGGAATGTTTCATTAGCTGCATCCTTGGATTAGAGAAAACCCCTTTCCAGAGCCTCCTTCCTCCTGTCCCTTAGGTTACCTGGGCACCGACTCCCCTGTCTTTGAGATACCTAGTCGGCTCCCTGAGGCCGGGGATTCTAGCTTGAATGGGTTTCTTCACAGCATTTAGCACAGTGCCTGACATGTAATAGTCTCTCTATTTATGTTAAATAAATACAATCCTCAAGACTTGACATCAGCTCTGGAATGGTGGAGTGGGAATGCTGCAGAAAAGATCCGGAGAGAAAAGAAAGCACCGAGATGTTAAAATCCAGCTTATTGACAGAATACTTGGGATTGTGCAGTGCTGCTATTTCTGTTTTTCACTTTTGGCAGGTATTTATTATTTCACTGATAGGAGACATCAAGTTCCAGCATTTTAATCCTGTACTTGAAACTTACATTTACAAGCACTTCAGTGCCACTTTGGCATACGTGTAAGTATGATCTGAGGGAACTGCGTGTTGTTGGATCTTTGGATTTGTACTTTTAGGGCTGGATTGTTGAGAAACGAGAGGGACCTGTGTTCAGTAAATGTGCCTAGTAAGGCAGAACTCTATTCTAAGCTTCTTGGTGGAAAAAGGGAACCATCTAAATATTCTAACTGTGGAAAGGGGGCTAAGATCAGGGCCTTCCTTCTGGATAAGGTGAAATCTCCTTAAGAATCCGGAATAGGCCAGGCCTTGTTGCTCATACCTGCAATCCTAGCACTTTATGTGGCTAAGGCAGGAGGATTACTTGAGGCCAGGAATTCAAGACCAGCCTAGGCAACATAACGAGAACCTGTCTTTACAAAAAATTAAAAAGTTAGCCGGGTGTGGTGGCGCACACCTGTTGTCCTAGCTACTTGAGAGGCTTAGGCAAGATAATTGCTTAAGCCCATGGAGGTCAAGGCTGCGGTGAGCTGTGATCATGCCACTGCATTCCAGCCTGAGTGACAGAGCAAGACCCTGTATCTAAAAACGAAAATTTAAAAAAAAAAAAAAAAAATCAAGAGCAAAATTAATGACAAATGACCCAACTTAGGATCTTAGAGGTTGGATGTCAGTGGGATTGGCGTGGGGAATCAAGGAGATCAAACCATGAATTAAACAAGACCAAGTTTGATAGAAGAAAAGGTCGTGCCCTCAACCCTGTACCACAAATGTTTTGTAAAATGTATTACTTACAGGATATGAGAAGTTTTCTTTTTCCCGTCTTTTGCATAAGAGGCAGCGGTCTCTACCTTTTCCGTAGTGCAGCCTGCCTTCTATCATTGGTTTATGGGCCCCTGACTAAGGAAAGCAACTAAAGTCCACTCCGTATTCCTCCCCAGAGCACTCACCATGGCATCGTATGTACCTGGCACACCCACCCCGTTGCCTTCCAGTTATTGTGCAGAATGTGACAAATAGTGATAGGAATGTAGCTGGATTTGTCGATGATCTTCTTATGACAGTGGCTTAGGCCACATCATGTAGATTGCTGCCCAGTGACCTGTCAGCGAGTACGCTAGTGACGGTGGCCGTTCCACCCAGGAGCCTCACATCCAGGTGGGCGGTAGCTACAGATGAGGAAATCCCATCACTGTGATCAAACCGAGCCAAATACAGCACTCCAGGTGGTAGTAATCTGGGTTTACTTGCAAGATTCAATCAATGCTATATGTTTCCTTTTTTAAAAATAATAATTTTAAAAATAATAATTCGGCCAGGTGCTTGAACCCGGGAGGCAGAGATCATGCCGCTGCATTCCAGCCTGGGCGACAGAGAGACTCCATCTAAATAATAATAATAATTGTTATAGTTATATATATGATATATATAACTATAGCTATAATAATAATAATAGTTATTATTATAGGAAAGCTCAAAGATTCCCAGAAGGAAGGTTTAAGATGAAAATATCAGTGCCCTCCAAAGTCTAAGGGATAGCACAAAATGAAGACCATTCCTAGCCCAAAAACTCTAGAAAGACGCAAAGAGCAACCTAAAACCCCAGAACAGTTTTATCTGTTGAATACTTAGAACCATGAATGTTCCAGAGAGTCTGACTGATCTCCTCTTTCTTCACTCCATAAAGTTTCTATCTGACTCCATACTGATGGATCCCAAGGGATTGAGGCAGAATAAAAGGAATTAGGCTTCTTTTAAGTCAACTCCTGTAGGCAGGCATAATCCCTCCTTTATGGGAGCATCTGAAGATGTCAGAATTGCATACCAGAGATTAAAATATCCTAGCAATTTGGGTCACTTCGACCATTTCATTTCATAACCCTCCTGTTTAATCCCACAAAGGGAAAGAAACCTTTTCTAGTATTTCTCAGCAGAAGGGTAGTTCTAAACCTAGATGGCAGGTGAGGAAACTTAATTGGAAAAGAGTTAATTTTGCTGTTCAGGGCATATTCTAGAAGATATAATTAGTTATGACTTCTACTTCCAGTATGCCACGTTCCCCTCTTAGATAACTTACCCAAGCCTCAGAGTATCCTGTTGCTCATCGGCTTAATTTTTCTTTGTCATTCTTCTAAGGAAACTCTCCAAGGTACTGAACTTCTACGTGGCTAATGCGGATGACTCCAGCAAGACTGAATTGCTTTTTGCTGCATTGAAAGCCTTGAAGTACTTGTTTAGATTCATCATCCAATCTCGAGTGCTCTACTTGAGGTAATGTTAACTGCAGTGAAGATGTTTAGATTATGAGCTGTCACTCTGTGTAGTTTTTCCCTGACTCTGCACACTGGTGTTCAGCTCTGTGAGCAGTTAGCTCTTAGAATTGCCTTATTTCAGAGCTGCAGGGCTGAAGATGGAGGTGGGCTGTGTCTCTGTTGGAGAAGACTCACGAGAAGTTCAGCAAAATTCTGGGGCAGTTATGACCTCAGGACTTGGGGAAGCAGGTTCCTATGGCAAGATTGTACCTAATACAGCAGATGACTTCATGACAATATTGAGTGTGCAAATCTAGGATCATGATCTGCTGTCACTAGCAGAAGAAGCAGTCATCTCGGGGGAGATGTTTCCTGAGATGAGTGTTTCCTTCTTGACACTGTGCTTAGCTACCTGGGCAGCTAAGCACTAAAGATAGGATTATTCCCTGTTTGGATTTCTAGCGTAACAGTTCCATCAAAAATAGAAGAAACCACAAAAGAGCACGTACCTTTGCAGGGAACACTCACAACCCCAGTGACTTTCCTACCCTTCAGAAATAGCTGTATTTCCCAACTGTTAAAATGTGTTTCTAAGGAAGAAATAAAAGGTTTGTAGATTTAAGCATATGTATTTTTAAAAGAAACTTTGTTTATTGAAAAAAATTAAAAAAGGCAAACAACCTGCAAAAAGGTTACATATAGTACAGATGAAAGGTTAATAGCTTTTCTCAGTTAAAGCTTTTATAAATCAATAAAAGAATGATAAATAGCCAAAATAGAAAACAAAAATGGTAATTTACAAAAGAAAAATTTAAATGGTCAATACATTAAAAAAAATTTCATACTATCAAAAGAATTTTGGTACACACACATGCATACACACACATGCACACATACCATCTTTTACCTATACATTTGAAAAAGGTTAAAAATCTTTGTCCTTTGATGATATTGGGCAAAAATTGGCCCTGTATTTCAATTTTGATGCTAATGGAGATATAAATTCTTCAAGATAAAAATAGACAGTATGAATAAAAACAAAAAAGAAAAATCTTAAGGAAAGGAAAAAGTGTCACATTTGTCCAGTAATACCTCATCTAGAAATGTATCTAATAGAAAAAAAAAATCTATCAGGTATGACAAAAATGAACGTGCAAGTATGTACATTCAGTCATTTCAAATGTAGGGTATGTTAATGAGGAAAGAGGACCATGATAGATTCTATTTTTTTTTTTTTGAGACAGGGTCTCGCTCTGTTTCCCAGGCTGGAGTGCAGTGGTGTGATCTCGGCTCACTGCAACCTCCACCTCCACCTCACAGGTTCAAGAGATTCTCCTGCTGCAGCCTCCCGAGTAGCTGGGACTACAGGCGCATACCACCACGCCCAGCTAATTGTTTCATATTTTTAGTAGAGATGGGTTTTCACATGTTAGCCAGGATGATCTCCATCTCCTGACCTCATGATCCCCTCACCTTGGCCTCCCAAAGTGCTGGGATTACAGACGTGAGCCACTGCTCCTGGCCCAATAGATTCTTAAATGATAAAACAAACGTGTAAAGCATGAGTACAGTATGATCTTCCTTTTAAAATAATACGGATTTGAAATATGTATAGTGAAGAAGACTGGATAGATAACATACTAAAGTGTTTTTTGTTGTTGTTGTTTCTTTAGAGTTTTTTAGGGTTTTTTGTTTTTGTTTTTGAAACAGGGTCTGGCTCTGTCACCCAGGCGAGAGTGCAGTGGCACGGTCTCAGGTCACTGCACTCTGCTTCCCAGGCTTAAGCAATCCTTTCACCTCAGTCCACCAAGTAGCTGGGACCAAAGGTGTGCACCACCATGCCCAGCTAATTTTTATATTTTATGTACAGACAGGGTCTGTCTGTGTCACCCAGTCTGGTCTCAAACTCCTGGGCTCAAGGGACCTGCCCATCTCTGCCTCCCAAAGGGCTGGAATTACAGGCGTGAGCCACCATGCCCAGCCTGAAATGTCAATAGTACAAAAACTTCGAGTGACAGGCTTGTAATTTTTTTTTTCATTCTTTATATTTTTATTCTTTTAGCATTTTAGTTATATTTATTATTATATTTTTATTTCTATTTTTTATATTCTTTTTGATTTTTAAATGAATATATACTTTTCTAATTGTTTTTTTAAAACGTTTAATGACTTTAAAACCCACCTGGCTGAATGACCATTCCTCCTTCCCAGGTAGAAGTGAGCAGTATTTTCCCCACACATACTTTATGCACAGTCTCTGTATTTGCTTTCTTTTCAGAAGGTCTTCTTTTGGCAGGGCGTGGTGGCTCATGCCTGTAATCCCAGCACTTTGGGAGGCCGAGGTGGGTGGATCACAAGGTCAGGAGTTCGAGACAGCCTGGCCAATATGGTGAAACCCCGTCTCTACTAAAAATACAAAAATTAGCCAGGCGTGGTGGTGGGCACCTGCAGTCCCAGCTACTCAGGAGGCTGAGACAGGAGAATCACTTGAACCCGAGAGGCAGAGGTTATAGTGAGCCGAGATTGGACCATTGCACTCCAGCCTGGGTGACACAGCAAGACTCCATCTCAAAAAAAAGAAGGTCTTCTTTTAAAGTTGGTTCATTATATTTTCCATTTACGGTACATTTCCATATATTGAGAATGGTTGGGGCATGGGGTGTTCTACCAAGGGAACATCCTCTTACCCAAAAGTTTGTTTGTATAGTAAACCCTGATGTCCAAAAATCAGTATCACCTTTAAACTACAGAAAGAAAACCTCAGTGTGAAATTAAAATGTATTTTCTTATGGATTCACTAGTTCATTTCCTCCTCATTTGTCAAAGCACATCAGAGCCCTCATTCTAGACACCAGATAGGACAGTAAAGGATGGTGAGTGTGGAAAATGAAAGGTTAGGGCGACAGAGGACCCATGAAATTGACTAGGAGAGTTGCTTCATTGCACCTCATCTGTGACGGCCTGCGTGTGGTTGCTTTTCCCTTATATGTTATTAAAGAAGAGCCTGAGCTGGGGAAGAGACTGGCAATGTGCGTCCTCTGGTTGCTTAGATTTAATGATCACTTCAGTGCACTGGCCATGTCTGGAGGCTGCAGTGATGTGTCACCTGGTCCCTGGTCCCCCTGTTGCCTTCATCAGAGTTTAAATCTCTCTTATGAGCTCATTACCTGACTGGAGTTCACCTCAATCAGCAAAACACCAAGAAGAAATTGTAAATTGCCCCAAATAGGATGTTGAGAAGCTTGATCTTAATCCCTCAGCTCCCTACCATTAGTACTTAAAAAAAAAAAATTAAGTCACCTACGTAGAGTGCCAAGTGTTCTGCATTGGTGCAGGGCTTTTGCAGCATATGTGACCAGGCTCCCACTGTGATGGTGTGTGTGGGTTCCATGCAGTTCAGGGAGGCAAGGAGTAAAGAAATCACCCTGTAAATGAGGGCAGTGTTGGAGTGGTGGAGCCAACAGGGAAGGCTGCCTGAGCTGAACTGAGTGGAGGAGGAGGTGGTATCATGTGAGCTGAGACGGAAAGATGAAGAAGCGGCCTCCAGAGATGTCAGGAAAGGGTTAGTGGAAGCAGGACCTGCCCCAGGCAGGGACCTATGGGGCACCAAGCATGGATGCATGAGGAGTAACGAGAATCCAGTGTCAGGAGAGAGAGCGGGAGTGGCCAGCAAATAATAAATGATGCGGGGCCTTGTAGTCCATAGTGAGGAGCTTGGATTTTATTCCAGGTGTAGTGGGAAGCCACTGGGGGATGACTAGGGAAGTAATAAAATCTGGCTTATATTTTAAATGATCATCTCATCTCCCACATGGAAAATGGATTATCAAAGGCTAAAGGTAGAAGCCAGTGACCACTTTGAGAGGCCATTGTGGTTCAAGTGTGAGACACTCCAGCCCCATCTCAGAGGCAGAGGGAGAGAATGGACTGATTCGAGCTTGTAGGATTTCCTGTTGGGTTTGATGGGGCAATGAGAGAAAGGGAAGAAGCATAGATAACATCTAGGTTTGGGGTGGATCTAGGTTCGAGGCGGTGCTGTTTGCTGACATTTGGAATACTTAGAGTTGAGCAGGGAAATCAAGTGAGTTCTGTTGTAGGTGTGTTAATTTTTAGATACTTTGGGGACTAAATTGCAAATAAAGTTCTTTTCTAGTTCTGTAAAATGGATGAATTGAGAATTACCATTAACTGTCTGATTAACTATCTCAGTGAAGTTCATATTCTTTGGGTACTATGGGTATAGGTGAATGGAGGGGACGAATTTAAACATACGTGTGTGTGTTTGAGTGTGTGCATGAAATTCTGAATTCAAACCATCCTATTCTTGACCAGTTAATGGTGAAATTGCCACCTATTATATGTGCATATGCACTTTCATTTGGGACTTTTGTGTTTCTTGGACAGTGCCCAAATATCTCTTGATTTCTACTTAAGAGAAAGAACCCACTTTTGAGTTGATGGATAGATCTTTTGAAGACAAGTATAGTACTTCAAAGAAGGCAAGCACGTATCAGTGAAGACTAAGGGGTCTTGTCCTGGAAGGCCCTTGTGATAGAGCAGGCCAGCATCAGCATGGGCAGTTCAGTGGCTAGACTGGAACAAATGGTTTTGTAGGCTGGGCTGGGCATCAGAGCCTTTCTGGGTTCAGCAGCTTCTCTAACCCATTGCCCGAAACTTCAGATGACTGGGGCTTGATTAGGTGAGTCAGAATGATTAGGGGGATACAGTGAAGGAGAAGTCGGGGAGGCAACAAATCTATTTTAAAATTTCTTTTAACAATGGAAAGTCCAACTGCTTTTCTCTTTTCCCTGTTAAGATTTTATGGCCAGAGCAAAGATGGAGATGAGTTTAATGATTCAATCCGCCAGTTATTTCTTGCTTTCAATATGCTGATGGACAGGCCTCTGGAGGAAGCCGTCAAGATCAAGGTCAGCCTGGAGTCATCATGGGTAACTCTTCTTAGGCTGTGGTAATGATGTTTTGGGACCACTTCGAATTGGCCATATCATGGGGGAGAAACAGAATGAATCATGGTTCCTGGATAGCTTATGAATTTTAGTGTGATTTACAGAAAATAAAGGGAAAAAAACCAGCCCATTTTAACTTCTACAGATGCTCGTATTTTCAAATGTCAGTTTGCCAAGGATATGCTACCCAATTAGACATCCCTTGAAAGGCCATTGTGAACCCTGTTTGACCCCATGATTTCAGCAAACTGATCCCAATGCTACTATAGGTGACAATTTTTTTTATTTTTTGTCCCTCATTTTACCTGGAAGTATAAAGTCACCGTCTTTGTTATCATAATTTAAAAAATATATGAAATATATAATCCCTGAAGACTCAAATGTGAACTTTACTATTAATATTTATTTTTTGCTCTTTATGGCCATGTTGTGAGAGAGACTTCAAGAATTTAACCACCTCCTGGCCAGGCGCGGTTGCTCACGCCTGTAATCCCAGCACTTTGGGTGGCCGAGGCGGGCGGATCACAAGGTCAGGAGATCGAGATCATCCTGGCTAACACGGCTCTACTAAAAATACAAAAAAATTAGCTGGGCATGGTGGCGGTTGTCTGTATTCCCAGCTACTCGGGAGGCTGAGGCAGGAGAATGGCGTGAACCTGGGAGGCAGAGCTTGCAGTGAGCCGAGATAGCGCCACTGCACTCCAGCCTGGGCGACAGAGCGAGACTCCGTCTCAAAAAAAAAAAAAAAAAAAGAATTTAACCACCTCCTTAGGCAGAGAAATGAACTCCAAGTGGACAGAGCCTGCTGGCAGTAGAAACCAGAAAGCTGTATCCCCTGGCATCTTCAGGAAAAGCATTTTAGGAGATCGTGTAGAGCAATGCCAGCTTTCCTTTTTAATGTAAGGGCATCTGTATCCAGTTCCCTATTTAAGTTTCAAGCACAGCCTTTTCTTCCTGGGATGAAGCAGTAAATGCTGGATTTGTCTTGCCTGGCAACTGAATTTGCCTTTGGTGTTTTTCTTACAGGGGGCAGCTTTGAAGTACCTTCCTAGCATAATTAATGACGTCAAACTTGTATTTGATCCTGTTGAGCTCAGGTAAATAGCCAAACAAAATTTTGTTCCTTAACTCTAACAGAGAAACAGCTCCCCTGCTTGGCTGGAGCCTGGGCTGCTATACCTGGCTTTTATTTTTCTAAGAAGTATTAACTGAATACCTTTTGGTGCTCAGTTCTGTGGAAGATGCAAAAGAACAACCAAAACCTGCACTGAGAGAGGTTTGCACTTTCTCTGGGAAAACAAGACATGCAGACATGAAATAGACTACAAAAGATAGTGTATAATAACGTGCTTCCATCCCTACCCCTAAGTATCCCAGCAGTGCCAAGTCAGACTACAGTCAACATGAGAGTAGAGTTAGCCAAGAAAGCCATTTTCACAAAGGCGGGACTGGAAAGCGATGATGGACAAGGGTGTTCTTTGGCAATGTAAATACTCAGCTCTAAGGCAGAGCCCTCCAGTAAGTGAGGATAGAGTCTCCCTTGCTGCCATGTCATAAACTCTCAGGTCATTTTGTAATTTCCATGTAAATGTCTCCATGCCCGTATCTCAGAGTGGAGGAGAAAAGTTTATAACAATGCCTTCAGCTTGGCAGAACGAAGACACTCCTAACCCTGTGGTTTCTCTTCCAGTGTGCTCTTCTGCAAATTCATTCAAAGCATTCCTGACAACCAGCTGGTTCGGCAGAAACTTAACTGCATGACCAAGATAGTAGAGAGTGCTCTTTTTCGACAGTCAGGTAAGTCTCTTTCAATAATTGCTGCGTAAGGTCGCAGTGAGCCGAGATCATACCATTGCACTCCAGCCTGGGTGACAGAGCACGACTCCATCTCAAAGGATTAAACAAACTGCTGTGTGCTGAAATGCCAGCCCCATTTCTGCAGTTAACACTTGAGCTTTGCTTTTTTTTTCTTTTAAGATGGAGTCTCGCTCTCTTGCCTAGGCTGGAGTGCAGTGGCGCCATCTCGGCTCACTGCAACCTCCCCCTCCCAGGTTCTAGTGATTCTCCTGCCTCAGCCTCCTGAGTAGCTGGGATTACAGGTGCACACCACCACACCCAGCTCATTTTTTTTTTTTAATATTTTTGGTAAAGATGGGGTTTCACCATGTTGGCCAGGCTGGCCTCAAACTCCTGACCTCAAGTGATCCGCCCACCTTGGCCTCCCAGAGTGCTGGGATGACAGGTGTGAGCCACCGTGCCAGTCAGCACTTGACTTTTCTTTTTAAAAAATGTTGGCTGGGCGCGATGGCCTAAGCCTGTAATCCCAGCACTCTGGGAGGCCAAGGTGGGCGGATCACAAGGTCAGGAGATCGAGACCATCCTGGCTAACATGGTGAAACCCCGTCTCTACTAAAAAATACAAAAAAAAAACTAGCCGGGCAAGGTGGCGGACGCCTGTAGTCCCAGCTACTCGGGAGGCTGAGGCAGGAGAATGGTGTAAACCCTGGAGGCAGAGCTTGCAGTGAGCTGAGATCCAGCCCACTGCACTCCAGCCTGGGCGACAGAGCAAGACTCCATCTCAAAAAAAAAAAAAAAAAATGTCATTAATATCCTTGCCAGTTGTTTGCTGGTATGTAAGGACCTCCTCGGAGAGCAGTTTTAAGGAGATTCTAAAGTAAACTTAGTATTTCCAGCAGTTCCTAAAAGAGCAAAATCATGTGTTCTTTAATCTTTAATTAGAACAATCTGCAAGAGGTTCATTAATTAGAGAATTTTGTCTTTAAAACAGGAACCTCAGGAAGCAACAAGCAAGTAGGAAAAAGATGACCCTTTTAAAAGAAATTCTTCTTTAACTTATACTTATTGCATGACCTTAAAAACCAGGGGATAGGGAAGCAGCAATGTGCTGGATCCCACAGGAGAACTGGTTACATGCATCCCTTCTCAACTCCACATTCAGTGATATCACATTAGTAGCTAGAAATTGACATGGTGGAAGGATTTACACCAGGTACACCAGGGAAATCGGCAAACGTGATAAAGCAAGCCTTTTCTTTTCTTTTCTTTCCTTTTTTTTGAGATGGAGTCTCGCTCTGTTGCCCAGGCTGGAGTGCAGTGGCACAATCTTGAGTCACTGCAACCTCTACTTCCCTGGTTCAAGCGATTCTCCTGCCTCAGCCTCCCATGTAGCTGGGACTACAGGTGTGTGCCACCATACCCGGCTAATTCTTTTTTGTAATTTTAGTAGAGCTGGAGTTTCACCATGTTGGCCAACTGGTCTCAAACTCCTGACCTCAGGCGATCCACCTGCCTTGGCCTCCCAGAGTGCTGGGATTTTAGGCGTGAGCCTCCGCACCCGGCCAAGCCTTTTCTTTAGGGGGTAGGTTGGTGGAAGCCAGATGACTAGTATTCTGCTGGGAGAGGAGTGGGGCATGGAGGGAAAAAACTCTTACACTGATAAAATACTTTTCACTTTGTAAGTAGAGTCTAGGAAGTAGCCACCAAGTATTTCTGTCCCAAAGCTGGTATTAAACAGGAGGTCCAGCACCTGGGCCTTCCCAATAAACTCAAGACTTGCTAGAGTGAGGCAGCTGCGGAGACTTCTTTTGGTCTCCGTGGTCAGGGGCTCAGAGAGGGTGACCTCATGTTATGTATGTATATTGCCTGGAGATCTGAAGACAAGCAGGACTCCTCAGTGTTGGAATTGAGTGGATCATTGGTGGGAGAGCCTTCCTGGCCTTGTCCCTGGCTAGTTACGTAACTGGACAAATGAGTGACCTTCTACAAGTCTCAGCTTCCAGTTCTGTGAAAGGAAGGACTTGAGCTAGATCGTATCAGTAGCCTCCTTGGGCTCTGATATTTTCTGACCCTATGAATTTGCACTTAGAAATTGCAAATGTTCCTAAGACACAATTGGGGGTAGAGGTAATGCCTGCCAAAAGCTAGTGAATGCTCTTAAGTAGAAAACATTTATTACCAAAGTAAATTATTACTAAACATTTTAATATGCTTTGATAACTTTTTAAGGATACAGAAAAGGTAATTGAGATAGTAAGGATAAGGTGTTTGAGCAGAAGAGCAAGCATGCACTCGATAGTTCTAATTAGAGTGTGATCACTGTTACCAGTCATTTCTGTAGCATTCAGAGTACCTGAATTCATTATAAAATGTGTTACAATAGCAAAGATCTCAGAAGACATAATATGTCATATCTTACTTTCTGAAATCCACATGCCTGCACAGACATGAGCAGAATGTCATTGAAATGTGCTAGGGAAGCTTAGTATTTATAGGAACTTCTTTCAGTACATTTTCTCCATTAGGTGAAAAAAATTTTGAAAAAAAATTTATAACTTGTTTTGGTTTTATTTGTTTCATATGACCTCAATTTCATGTATTAGATTGGCATTTTTAAAAGCTAGAGAAATTGTTAAATAATTTAAACATTTTGCTAAGTTCCCACCTTTACCTGTGGGAAGGGTCATTTTCTTAGTTTGTATAATCCAGTTGCAAAGGCGAAGTTCTTTTTTTTTTTTTTTTTTAATTCATTCATCTGCAAACTGAACAAGAGTGGAGTTCTACACCTACAACCAGGTGTTCCTGGGTGAGCTGGAGGGGCTGCCTTCCTGCAGGGCTGGAAGGCAGGGCTGCAGAGCTTAGAGCTGGTGGTACTGGAGAGCGTTGCAGAAAGGAGACAGGCGGTTCAGGAGGTGGCACTGCTGCGTGTGAGCTGTGTGTGTTTTCCTTCTCAGAGTGCAGAGAAGTGCTGCTGCCGCTGCTGACAGACCAGCTCAGTGGCCAGTTAGATGACAACTCCAGCAAGCCTGACCACGAGGCAAGCTCGCAGCTTCTGAGCAACATCCTGGAGGTGCTGGACAGGAAGGATGTGGTGAGTTGAGTCATCACTGATGCTGCACGGAGCTCACACTGGCCCCTTTGCACCAGACAGGAGTGACTCCATGGCCTTCCTATTCTCAGGTAGTTTCCAACTCAGGTATTAGGGCAGGCTGTGCCCATTTTAGAGATAATTAGGGAGGCCAGAGCCTCCAGTGCAAAGTCAGATTACTGCTGGGACCTTCCACAGGCTGATTTTCCTGGCTTGCCTGGTGTGCCCACTATTGAGATCCCTGTGACTATTCTTAAGAATCAAAGACCTGACTGGGCATAGTGGCTCAGGCCTGTAATCCCAGCACTTTGGGAGGCCAAGTCAGGAGGATCACTTGAGCCCAGGAGTTCAAGACCGACCAGCCTGGGCAACTTAGTAAGACTTTGTCTCTCTAAAAAAAATAAAATAAAATAATAATAATAATTAAGAAATAAAGAATCAAAGGCCTTTCTGTTTTTATGTGGAAACCTCTTCCTTCTTATCCTCTGATGCCTAACAACCAGTTATTTCTGAGCGGCTGAGAAGTTCTCATTTCCATATCCTCTTGGACATTGACGCTTTCTCTGGAACCTAGTGGAAATGATGTTTTCTCATCTTGCGTTTTCTCTGTGACCTGGCCCCCATCACTCTTGAAAACATAGGGCTAAGGCCAGGCGCAGTGGCTCATGCCTGTAATCCCAGCACTTTGGGAGGCCAGGGTGGGCAGATCACAAGGTAAGGAGATCGAAACCAACCTGGCTAACATGGTGAAACCCCATCTCTACTAAAAATACCAAAATTAGCTGGGCATGGTAACCCGCGCCTGTAATCCCAGCCACTTGGGAGGCCAAGGCAGGAGAATCCCTTGAACCTGGGAGGCAGTGAGCCAAGATTGTGCAACTGCACTCCAGCCTGGGAAACAGAGTGAGACTCCATCTCAAAAAAAAAAAAAAAAAAAAAAAAGAAAACACTGAACCTGTCTGGATTCACCATGTCTTAGAAATAGTACAGCCCATAGGCCTAGCAGAGCCCCCACACAGGAAGCTGGAGAACTTTGCAGAATGTGTTCACTCGAACAGTTGAGGGCTGAGGAAAAAAAAGGTATCTTGCCGCAAATTATACTCACCACGTCTGTGGTGGTTTCGTGGCACAGGTGTTCCCACAGAACAGGAAAACCACTCTTTGTCTTCACCTAAACTCTTTATCTTTCCAGTATCTTGGGATTCTGTTCTACCAAAGGATAAGAATACTACACCTTTTCCCATAGCCAAACTGTTAGTTCACCTGTCAGGGTCCACCACCATTTGAACACAGCCCACCTTTTCTCGTGCTCATGGTTTGCACTGGGAAGTCTACATTTCTGTGAATGCATACTCAGAAGTATGTGAGGGTACCACTGCCATCTCTAGCTACTCCCCCAATCTCTGTCCCTCCACTTCCCTAAGCCCCTGTAGCCCACTTACTCTTTGCACTGCTCACTTGATATGTATTCATTATGATCATTCCCCCTTTTTAAATTAAGTATGTTTATAGAAACCACATTATAAAATGGAATACGTTTTCCCAAAGCAACTGGAGATTTTGTTCCTAACCAAGGACTTTGCACCAAAATCATAAATGTGATCAATCATGTCATAAACACAATACTTTTAAAAAAGTAACTCTTATAACTCAGTAATTCCTTAATATAATACAGTAAAGCTCCACGCCCTATGAATTTGGCAACAATGTGTCTGGCACATTGGTTTAGCCAGGGATCCAGTGTTCTAGAAATCGTATGTTTATGATCCACAGTTAATGTGAAACACAGGAATCGGAGCATTGGATTCTAGTCCCAATATTACCACTCTGTAGCTATTTGTCCTCAGGCAAATATCTCAGTGCCTCAGTTTCCTAGTCTAGTCCGTTGTATGTAGGAATTGTTCTAGATGACCTCTTAGGTCTCTTCCACTTCTGACCCTATTTTTTAATATGTAACATCTCTACCAACCTTCTCACCACCCAGAAAGACTCTTTGGAAATGACTTGAATGTGTTTAAATCCTGTGCAAGGATATTTAAATTAACTTTTTATTTATTTTGGTCTTCCCAATATTATGTTCCCTGTAATGAGCAGAGACAGTCAAAATTATCGATCTTGGAGCTTTGGTAAAGTAGTAAGTTCGATCATTTTTGTCCATCATGGTGGTACTTTTTTTTCCTCCATATACATTTTGAAATATTGTGCACTAGCTCAATTATCTCTTCCCTTGTCCTCTCATCTCCTTAGTTAATTTAAAGCTCTAATTACTGACATTTGTTCTTCCTGCGTTTTGTTTTATTTTTTTAAACATTGCAGGATTCCCTCCTCTCCCTACAGCTCTGTTTTGGAATTGTCCTCTTTCTTTCAAGTCCAGCTGCAGGAAGCGCCTCTGTGAAGCTGTCTCTGGTGTGGTCCTGCCAAATTCTACTCATTGTTTCCATGCTCTCCTTGAGTTTCTTTTGAGGATTTTATCACTTCGTATACTGAGTTGTGAATGCAGCTCACAAATCCTTGGGAAGCTGCTCTTATGCTCCAGGCACTGGGATCGGCTAGGACTATGGCAGTGAACTAGAGAAGCAAGCACCCTACCCCCAGGAGCGCACCTTCTAGGGGATCCTTGTGTTATACTTATTTAAATGTATGTCCTGGCCGGGTGCAGTGGCTCACGCCTGTAATCCCAGCACTTTGGGAGTTCGAGACGGGTGGATCACGAGATCAGGAGTTCGAGACCAGACTGACCAACATGGTAAAACCCCATCTCTACTAAAAATACAAAAATTAGCTGGGCTTGGTGGTGCACACCTGTAACCCCAGCTACTCAGGAGGCTGAGGCAGGAGAATTGCTTGAACCCAGGAGACAGAGGTTGCAGTGAGCCAAGATTGCGCCACTGCCCTCCAGCCTGGGCAATAGAGTGAGACTCAGTCTCAAAAAAAAAAAAAAAATTTATGTGCCACTCACCCCCACCTCCACAATAGAAATCTCTAAAGGCTCAGAGGAGCCTTATTCATTTCATACCTCCCCACAGGGCACAGCATGTGACCTGCACAACTATTTAGGGCCACACTAAGGAAATGCTATGTAAATGGAGTGAAAGCAGCATCTCCTGGAGAGGCTGATTTTATGAATCACTTTCATTCAGGGAAATGGGAAACAAGTAAATGACTAATAAAAAGTGAAGGAGGGAGAGAAGAAGGAAGGGACAGAGGGAAGCAGAGAGGGAGGGTGGACCTGAAATACTTGATACTGTAATAAAAATACATATAGCCATACCATAATTAAGAAATCAAAAAACAATAGATGTTGGCATGGGGGTGGTGAAAAGGGAACGCTGTTACACTGTTGTAACAGTTGTAAATTAGTACAACAACTATGAAAAACAGTATAGAGATTCCTTAAAGAACTAAGAGTAGAACTACCATTCAATCCAGCATTCCCACTCCTGGGCATCTACCCAAAGGGAAATAAGTCATTATATGAAAAAGACACATGCATGTGCATGTTTATAGCAGCACAATTTGCAATAGCAAAGATATGAAACCCACCTAAGTGCCCATTGACCAATGAGTGGATAAAGTGTGGTATATATGCATCATGGAATACTACTCACTCATAAAAAGGAACAAAATAACGTCTTTTGCAATAACTTAGGTGGAGATGGAGGCCATTATTCTAAGTGAAGTAACTCAAGAATGGAAAACCAAATATTACATGTTCTCACTTACAAGTGGGAGCTAAGCTATGAGACTGCAAAGGTTTAAGAGTGATACAATGTGGCCGGGGGCGGTGGCTCACGCCTGTAATCCCAGCACTTTGGGAGGCCGAGGTGGGCGGATCACAAGGTCAGGAGATAGAGACTATCCTGACTAACACGGTGAAACCCTGTCTCTACTAAAAATACAAAAAATTAGCCTGGCGTGGTGGTGGGCGCCTGTAGTCCCAGCTACTTGGGAGGCTGAGGCAGGAGAATGGTGTGAACTCAGGAGGCAGAGCTGGCAGTGAGCCGAGATCGCGCCACTGCACTCCAGCCTGGGCGACAGAGCGAGACTCCGTCTCAAAAAAAAAAAAAAAAGAGTGATACCATGGATACAATGGACTTGGTGAACTTTCTGGGGAAAAGCTAGGAGGTGAGTGAGGGATAAAAGACTACGC